GGGATCGAGCCGAGTCCCACATTGGGCTCCTTGCTAAGCAGGGAGGCTGCTTCTCCCTCTGCCTGCCACTTCCCCCTGCTTGTGCCTTCTGTCTTACAAATAAATAAATAAAATCTTTAAAAAAATAAAAATAAAACTTCATTCTTTGAAAATTAAAAAAGGTAAATTTAATGGATTTCTTTTTTCATTTAATGCCTCTTCACTTGGTGGCAGCATTTCACAAATGAAGTAAAGTCATTAAGCAAAGGAATACATTGATAGAATAAAAGAGATGAATAAGTTATAGCTCCAGCCTTGAAGGAACTTGCAAGTTTTTGGAGAAGATGAATAGATCTGTACATAAGAATGTGCGGAATATAAAAGTTCATGTAAATTATAAAGAAATAAGACCACATTTTTAAAAATAAATAAGCATATCTAAGCTTATACACCAAAACTACAGTTATCTCCTTTAAAAAGTTCCCCTAGAAAGTATACAGTCACTTCTCAAAAACTTATTTGATTAAAAGGTAAGTTGGGAATGGTATCACAGAGAAGCACTGGGATATAAAATGCCCAGGACATAGATAAATGATTTTCCTAAAAGGGTGACTATCCTTAAGGATCATTCCATGATCTATTTTCCTTTCAGCATTTTCTTTATATATATGTATTTCTTAATTTTTATTTTAAGTAGGCTCCATGCCCAACATGGGGCTTGAACTCACGACCCTGAGATCAAGAGTCACATGTTCTGCATACTAAGCCAGCCAGGTGCCCCTCAACGTTTTTTGTATAAGACTATAACAAATTTCAGAAGAGCTGATACAAAGGAACATTTGATTGCTAAAGTCCCATTCAGGAAGGTAGGTCAAGCTCGGATCCCACAGTGTGGACATTTTTGCAATGGGAAACGACCAACCACAAAAGGAAGTGACTTTGAATACTGAGTGAATAGACTCATTCTAGAAGATAGTCTTTTTCTTGCTTAAAACCCTTGTTGGGAGGCAATGGTGGGTGTAAGGTGTAGTCTCATACCTTCCTATTCAGCAGAAACAAGCATTTTCAGAGGATATTTGTGGACATGCAAGAATATTGAAAAGGAGTTAATATGGTAAGAGAAGTAAGGCTAGGAGCGCCTGGGTGGCTCAGTGAGTTAAGCGGCTGCCTTTGGCTCAGGTCATGATCTGAGGGTCCTGGGATCAAGCCCTATGTCAGACTCCCTGCTCACTGGGAAGTCTGCTTCTCCCTCTCCCTCTGCTGCTCCCCACTGCTGTGCTCTCTCGCTCTCATGCTCTCTCTCTCAAATAAATAAATAAAATCTTAAGGAAAAAAAAAGAGAGGTAAGGCTAATGAACTTTGTGTGTCTGAGAGGGGTCTGCAATCAACCATTAGCATTGGTACAAGTAAATGGTCACCCCATATGAACCAGGTCAAGATTCTAATTAAGTGAGATTGAGAATAACACTGAATCGGGACACAAAGAAGTTCCTGAAAGGCATTCTAGAGGCTTCTGACCAGGCTCTTCACATGCCCTCTGATAATGCTTTGGTATTTAGCGACAGTGCCATCAGACACACTCATACATGACTTGCATATTTTGGTACGTTTATTCCATAATGTGAGTTCATTTGTGTTCAACCCATTCTTTTTTGTCCCAAGTTAAAAAAAAAAAACAAAAACCCTAAAGGTTTTATTAAGGGGAGGTTCTTAAGTTGAATGGACATTGTATTTCTGATCTGAATGGACACTGTATACTCTTAATATCCTGATTTGCAGACAAGCAGATACAGTATTGGTCCCATTATAGAGTGAGCAGGCCCATTCAGTAAACATCCTTACATTAACCAAGGACTGTACATGGTTAGTGCTTAAATTTGTTTCCCTCAAAATAGACATGTACAGTAGTACTATACTGACATATGCCTCTATTTCAACAGTATCATCATTCCTAACTGGGTCACAGCAGAGGAACTCAGACTTTGTAAGGTCCCTGCTGATGCTGGGTATTCTGTGTGTGCCTCTTGTGACATAGACTTTGCTCTTCCCCATCCTGCTCCATGCCCCAAGAAGCTGACCTGGAAGGACTGCATTATCCAGGCTCATCCATCCTCTTGCTTTTGGTTGGGTTTGACAAATGCAATGCAGGAGATTGGAGAGTGAGAGGAGGAAGAGGTCAGGGTATTTATTCCTGCTGCTCCCTGCCTGGTTTGGCAGCATCTGCATTTCTTTACAGATGGCCTCAGCTCTCGTCAGGTGGCTTCTCTCCCGGGGTTACAGCTCTTACCATGCTCCAGTACAGCTCTCTTTCAGGACTTCCTGCTGTCTCCTCAACATCCTCTGTTGGTTCCTTATCCTGACAATCAATCCCTACATCAAACCCTCTTTGATTTCCCCCATTTGAATGGTTTCCTGCCTGAAACATATATCTTGCACACATTATTTTCTCATACATTGTTTTTTTCTCATTAACACAAATATTTATTGATACTATTTACACAGCAAATTATGTTGAATGTGAAGTTTGGATAACTTTAAGTCACCATTTGCTGGTGCACAAAGGTATTCTCTTATTTATAAATGAACATTTCTCTTTTCCTTCCATTAGTTTTTGTCCAGAGGCCAATATCTAATATTTAAAAATTAGTTTAGTTTCTATTAAACAAAACTAAAAGTGATTCCGTGGACAGTGACTATATGGTGACCAAAAACATCTAATGTCAAATGTCATTTAAAACTACTTCTTGGGATGCCTGCGTGGCTCAGTCTGTTAAGCATCTGCTTTCAGCTCAGGTCATGATCCCAGGGTCCTGGAATCGAGTTCCACATCAGGCTCCTTGCTCAGAGGGGAAACTGTTTCTCCCTCTGTCTGCCACTCCCCCTGCTTGTGCTCTCTCTCTCTGACAAATAAATAAATAAAATCTAAAAAAAAAAACCTTTCAAAAAAACCACCAAAATTTAAACAACAACAACAACAACAACAACCACCTGCTTCTTGATCATCTCTTGTCAGTTTGTGCTACTTAAGACAGAGAGGGCTGGGATTTTATAAAGTCTTATCTGAACAGTCTGCATATAAAAGTTGTCTTTTAGTTTAGTGAAGGGGTATCCATGCAGCTGTGGACCTCTGCATTCTTGCCTCTGTTGGTTGATAACAGCCATTCTTCCAACTGTCCTCTTTCAGGCAACCACAGGTTTTAGGAACTGGCAAGGATCTGTACACAGACTGTGCAAGTTTGCTGTGAGGTACCGGTATACCCCCAGCAGAAGGGGAAGTGGGTCTCCGCAGTGGGTTCCTGCAGATCTGGTTGAAGTAGGGCTATTGATATTGTTGGGAGGATTTGCTGGGACTGTGTGCTCTGAACCATGGGAGGCCCGGGTAGGGAGGTGGCTTGTATGAGCTGTATTGTTTCTTTGGTACCAGTAGAACTAGAGCCATGGTTGTTAAATGCTTTTACTGGTTGCTGGAAAGCCAAAGGAGATGGTACTGCAGGGAAACAGAATATGTCTGGAGAAGGTATGGCTGAAACCTGAGGTTGCATGTGAGGTATCCTCCATTTGGCACCTGAAAATTTAAGTCACTTCTGCTGCTTTTCACTGAGTCAACTTGCATATTCAATGTTTGGGACTCTCATTCATTATTTAATTTAATTCCCACAATGCCACTGTTAGAGGTATCATTCTAAAGATCACAAAACAGAATCATACTTACCACAGAGTTGTAACTTAGATGTAAATCTAGATATGACTGACTCTGAGCCCTTGCTCCTTCCACTTCATACAGTTTACTTCTAGAAGGTTTGTTAGTACTTAGCAAATCATCCATAAATTTACTATTATTATTCCCATTTTGCAAATGAGAAACTAAGAATCAAAACCATCTACTCGCCCCACCTCACAAACATACTTGACTGTTTACATTACCATGATTTTACTCTGCCACTGTCTTTATCACAATGTCTTAACTATTGCAGGAAATTTTTGTCCAGAGAGATAAAAGTTAAAAATAACTTCAGCGTCCCTTTCAGGAACTTCCTGAAAAAATCCATTTTTAATGAACATAATACTGTTTGGCTTTTCAATAGATAGCATCAAACAATTCTTTGCTTTCTGTGATTCTTCTATACCCTCACCTCAAAGCCCTCATTTTGCTGTACCCACCAATCCTAAAGTGTTCTGCCATGATCTTTATCCAGTCCTAATTAAGAGCCATCCCTTGCCTTGAAAGACTTGCCTTAAACCAAATCCCCAAACTTCATATCACAACCTTGCCCTCTTCCCTCCAAGATGCTACTAATTCATGGTCAAAGCAGTATTCTCCCTTACTGAGGTAAGCAATAAATTCAGGTTTACCTTTTCAACAGGTTATTTTGGTGGTATTTTTGAGGATCCAGCATTTGGCCACACTAACACTTAGAGACTTAAATAATCACCCAAGTTCAACAACATAGGAAGAGATGGAGCTGAGATACAAACCGAGGCATTCTGACCCTGGAGCCCTCTCATAAATAGCACATATTTTTGTCTCTAATAGGCTATAATGTTAAAAGAAAATATGACAAATTACTTAGCACAAATATTACTACTTGGTCACTAGAGTGTTTAACACAGTCCCTGATGGCTTAGTATAACAGAGCATTATCTTTTCAGGTATTCAGAAAAAAAATTATGAAAAATTAGTCTTTTTTAAATCATCTTCCAAAGCTTAACTTTTATTTATTTATTTATTTATTTATTTATTTATTTATTTATTTATTTATTTAACAGAGAGAGACCCACAGCGAGAGAGGGAACACAAGCAGGGGGAGTGGGAGAGGGAGAAGCAGGCTTCCCGCTGAGCAGGGAGCCCGATGCGGGGCTCCATCCCAGGACCCTGGGATCATGACCTGAGCCGAAGGCAGACGCTTAACCATCTGAGCCACCCAGGCGCCCCCAAAGCTTAACTTTTTAAAACTTTTATCACTTAGATTTACAAATATATCAAGGTAATTAGCAAAAGTAGTAGCATTTCTTTATATATCAACTTGTCATATGAAAATGTTAAATTGTGTTTTATCATTACATAAAAGTAAAAAAGGGACTTGCCTTTACATGGTGTTATGCATCGAAGTACTGATTTCTGAGTTGTCTTCACTGTGCAGCACAGATTATTTTATCATCTAAATGAAAATAAAGCAGATTTTTACTTGTTCTACAAAAAATCATTGTTACAATAGAAGTGGACATTTCAATAAAACAGCATATGATTTTACTCTTGAGATACCAAAGGGTATATCTCAGAGAGACTTGAGTGAGAATTAACATTTTATTTATTTATTTTTTAAAGATCTTATTTATTTATTTAACAGAGAGAGACACAGCGAGAGAAGGAATACAAGCAGGGAGAGTGGGAGAAGAGAAGCAGGCTTCCCGTGGAGCAGGGAGCCCGATGCGGGGCTCGATCCCAGGAACCTGGGATCATGACCTAAGCCAAAGGCAGACGCTTAATGACTGAGCCACCCAGGTGCCCCGAGAATTAACATTTTAAATTATATATTTGAATGCAATCATGAAAATAGGAACTGATGAATAAACCAAAGGAATCAAGAAAGTTTCTAGAAAGTTCTGGAAATAGATCTTTTCCTCTTGTTTATTTTATTTTTTATGGTGACCTGTGTCCTTTGGGAATTCCCAAACGAATCTGCTGTAAACAGATGTTAATATTTAATGTCTTTTTAGCCTGATGATATGGGGAGAAACTCACTAAGTAGGCTTCCACTGAGCTGACTTCAGGATTAACGGACTCTATAATCTCGCTCTGTGAATCATACTGGCTGATTCCCATAGCAAACTGACCCTCAGCACTGCCACACTACTCCCCATTCTGCCCTTATACCAGTGCTCCCACCAGCTGAGCTGTATGCTTCCCTAGACTCAATTGTGTTTGATCTGAAACCTTGTCACTGTAATACTATAACAGCTACATGTTATACAACTTGACAACTACATATTACTCAAGATGACAGGTTGTAAAAGAAAAATGTTGCTGCTGTGAAAACTAAATTAAATACTTCAGAAAGCAAATTGCTTTTTAAAATGAGATCAAATCAAATAATTATAAAGAATTAGGAAAAAAACTTTAAAGGTCTAGAAAAATTTTGCTTTTAGATTTAAGATCTTTTTCTCACTTGAAACACTAGGAAATGTAGATGAATTATGAGTATAGTTTTGTGAAAAAGACCATCTGGAACTTTAATCACCAGATTTATACTTAAAAAAAAAAAAAGCTTTGGGTCTACTACAAAGGGAAGGTAAGTAAATATGTATTTATATGTTTGCTGTTAAATTATAAGTTCCAGTTCAATATGTATCTCTTTTATGATTGTCTATTATGACTGACATTTTTTGATTAACCAACTGTGATGGTTAATTTTTTTTTAAAGATTTTTTATTTATTTTTGACAGAGAGAGAGAGAACACAAGCAGGGGGAGTGGGAGAAGGAGAATCAGGCTTCTCGAGGATCAGGGAGCCCATTGAGGGGCTTGATCCCAGGGCCCTGGGATCATGACCTGAGCCAAAGGCAGACGCTTAACAACTGAGCCACCCAGCGCCCTGAGTGATGGTTAATTTTATATGTCAATTTGACTAGGCAATGAGGTGCTCAGGTATCTGATCAAAGACTATTCTGACTTTGTGAGGGTGTTTTGGGATGATATTAACATTTGATTAGGTAGACTGAGTAAAACAGATTGCTCTTCCTAATGTGGGTGGGCCTTACCCAATTAGTTGAAGGCCCAAATAGAATAAAAAGGCTGACTCTCCCATGAGTGAGAGGAAATTCCTCCTGCCTGACTTAGTTGAGCTGGAATATCAGTCTTTTACAGCCTTCGCACTCAAACTGAAACATCAACTTTCATTGTGTCTCAAGACTGCCAGCTTTCAAACTAGAACTTACACCACCGGCTCTCCTGGACTCACACTGGAACTGTACCATAGACTCTTCTGGGTCTCCAACTTGTTGACTACAGATCTGGTAACTTGTACTTGAACATTTAAAGGTGATGGCAAAAGAGGAAGAGCAAATAAGGAAGACTGAGGACCAGATGAGGAAGAGAAAAACCAGGAGAATGTGGTATCATTCAACCCCTAAAAGCAGAATTTCAAGGAGTGGCCAGTTGTATTAAATGCCAAAATATCAAGGAGTATGAGGTCAAAGCAATCCCCAATGTATATAACAATATAGTATATTTGGTTGTGACCTTTATGGAAGTAATTTGCCTGGAACGATAAAATGAAGTCGGATTATAAAGACTGAAGAGAAAATTGTATTTCTAGTTAATGAGGTATATTGGACACAAGTGGTTACTTCTTTCCCTTTTATAACACCATTGAAAAGATAGCAAAAGAAGTTTTTTCTAAAAAGGGATAAACCAAGAAGACCACACAAATTAAATGATGAGATTTCAACAAGCTTTTGAAAGATGAGAAATGGGTGGACCATGGTAATTGACTTAGCATTCTAGAAAAAGGTAAAGTGAAGGTAGTAGCATGAGGGGCAAGCAGACAAAGAACAAGATGATTCATGTCTCAGAACCCTGTAAGAACTTGGGAACTCGAAGTATTAGGGACCTTTGAAAGATCAGTTGACAATTTGTTTATGAAACAGCTTTTCACATATTCTCCTCCACTTTAGCCTGTCCTCATACCACAGAAGACTGGAACTTCCCGCTCTAGGAAGGTTGAATATTTCCCCAAACAGTATGAAAATTCTCCCAGCTTCACTTATACACACCAGGTGGGAGAATAGAGAATCACCTTCAGGGAAAATATGCCTGTGGTTTTAAAAAAACCCAGACATACTGATATTTGTGTGCCCTTCAATGAAAAAGCCAGCTTACTCTTAAATGATATCCACCACTGACAAATTCTGCTCATGCAAATAGAGCTCTGAACATGAAATACAGAAAAAAAAAAAGGCAAACAAACACACAATTTTATTTTATTTATTTATTTTTTAAGATTTTATTTATTTATTTGAGACAGAGAGAATGAGAGACAGAGAGCATGAGAGGGAGGAGGGTCAGAGGGAGAAGGAGACTCCCTGCCGAGCAGGGAACCCGATGCGGGACTTGATCCCGGGACTCCAGGATCATGACCTGAGCCGAAGGCAGTCGCTTAACCAACTGAGCCACCCAGGCGCCCCAAAACACACAATTAAAAAAAAATAGAAAATGTAGGGGCACCTGGGTGGCTCAACCAGTTAAGCATCTGCCTTTGGCTCAGGTCATGATCCCAGGGTCCTGGGATCGAGACCCGAAATGGACTCCCTGCTCAGCAGGGTGCCTGCTTCTCTCTCTGCCGCTCACTCTGCTTGTGCTCTCTCTTTCTCTCTCTGTCAAATAAATAAATAAAATCTTTTTAAAAAATAAAATTAAAAAATAGAAAATACAAGGAAGATCAAGAAACTTCAAAAAATATTTTAATAGGATCTTCACAGAGGTGCAAGATGATATTGCATCCACAAAACAAAACCAGAATGTTATAAAAAGTGAATTACCAAGCCTAAGAATGGGCTTTTGGACATTGTAAATATGTGAGAACTAAAAGAATCAATAAGAGGGGTGAAAGGTTAAGTCAGGAAAATCTTTCTGAAAATGGATTAAAAAAAAATGGAGAATAGTAGAAAGTTAAAACAAATTTAAAGGATCTGTGTAGGAGGTCCAATATCTGAATGATAAGAGTTCCAGAAAGAAAATATAGAGGGAAGTATGAAAATGCTTTAAACCGAAAAAATTCTAGAACTGAGGGATACAGGTTTCCAGATTAACATGACCCATTGTGGGTGTCTGGGTGGCTCAGTCAGTTAAGCATTTGACTCTTGATTTCGACTCAGGTCACAATCTCAGAGTTAGGGTTGTGAGATCGAGCCCCACATCAGGCTCTGCACTGGCCTTGGAGTCTGCTTGAGATTCTCTCTCTTCCTGTCCCTCTGGCCCTCCTCCCACTCACTCTCTCCCTCTAAAAAAAGGAAAAGAAAAAGAAAAAAAAGACCCATTGAATGTCCAGCCATACAAATAAAGAAAGGCAAATAAGGACAAAAAAATCTTAAAAATTCTAGAAAAAAAAAAAATCAGGTCATATACAAAAGCTAGATTCTGAATGTCATTCATAGGAATTCTGAGCAGCTTTGGGAAGCCTTGGGATTTAAGGAAGAGCACATCCAATATAGGGGAAAGTTAAAGGGCACTTCCAGATGACAAGGGAAATCCCTTCACTGAGCCTGTGTAGTAAGGAAAGAAAGGATGTGGAATGTGTCAGGAGTCTCGACTGCTGTGAAACCTGAGGTAAGCAGGATTAAAAGACAGAAGAACTCATGACCAGCAGTAGGATGGGCAATCAGCCTGGTCCTGATTTAGCCCCTGGTGCAGGGCCTTGGCCAGCTGCTGTTTGTTCCTGTATCTCTACTGAGGCCGACAGGACTCTACACTGATAAAAGTGTATGCTCCGGCTACCCAGTGGAAGTTATCCCCACCAGGAAATACAGTCCTCTTTCAAGTCTTATTTTTGAAAGCTTTATTGTACGTGATCCCCCAATCCCTCATGGGGACTACCTATTCCACAACTGACTTCCGCCTCCCTAATTACAGGTTACATTGAATATTACATGTTATATGGCATGTGCTTTTCAAGCAATTGGTTGTTTCCCTTTGTGACAAAGGCACTCTTTTGAAGTCCTAGTGTAATTTAGGTACTGGATTTATTTTCTTAACAATTGACACCAGAATGCCTTTTGGGGGAGGAAACTACCTTTGAGGAAATGACTTGATTAGCCACTGGGTAGAAGGTGGGGCCCTGGGGGTGTGTTGTTCAGCAAAATGAAAGCCACAAAAGAGCCTGGTTAAATTACTCTTATGAGAATTATAGAGGAATTTCTTTTGTTTCTGAGAGGGAGAGGTGGGGAAGATAGGGAAGCAAAGAAGGGAGGGAAGAGAGCAGAGAGTAGAAAGAGGAAATTGTGATATGTGCTGGAGAATAGGATGTAAAACAGCCAGTGAAAAAATTAAGGTGGCTGAAGGATTTTCTATGAAAACATATATTGAGGACTCAACGTAAACTATCTGCATTTCTACAGCTAAAGACACTTCTCTGCTTGCCCATGCCATACCAAGCCTAAAAGCG